TATATGATATCTTGAGAGGGTGTTGGTCAGCAGTAGGCACTGCTGCCCTGTTTCAGTAGGAAGGATGAAGGCTATCTGTTGTCAACACGCTGCATAAAGAGCTCTCAAAGCTCTGCAAATGTAGGTCGAGTAAGTAGGCGAGAAGTTCAAGATGTTAACGTTCAGCAAATTTCAGCCAGCCTTGCAACACATCACGTGAGGAAAGTTGCAAACGTTGGATTGCGCCTCCAATCATTATTCTAACCATTTCAGGAGGTTGCTACATCTCCCAGACACATCGGCGTGAATTTCATGGTATAGAATATCAAGCTTACATACCGTATGTTTGATGCTACTGTACACTAGGCTGCGGTGCTTGGTCGTTTATTACATTTGCGGGGCTTCATCTATGGGCATATTTGAAATCGCGCAGGACCCAATAACTGCGTATGTGATTGGTATTCGCACGTAAAACAGTGTGCCATGGGCTGGGTTTCTCGATAGTTGGCATCTGACAGTTGAGTAGTTGAGTTTGAACATTGAGACGGCCTCATGCAACTAAGAGTTATGGCCCGATATGGTCGAGGAGCCGTAGTGGTCTATCAACCTCTTGTAAAGTCCTTCGTCGTTTCGGTCGCTTAATAGTTTAGCAACCTCCTGGCGCACAATAAATTGAGGGGCTATCGTGAATGCAATGTGCCTCGATTTCGCGAGGCTTTTTCTGTTCCTGTCTATTTACTCTAGCCTACCCGATCTATACTCCCCTTATGATTGGATTTCTACAGTATGTTTAAAAAGTAACGTTTGTGAAGATCTTATAGATTGAAGACTGTATTTCGTGAGAATAATATCCGATCGAGACGACAGAGTAGGACCATAGCTACGGTGCTACGAACAGACACGGGCACATCGCCAAGGAATGCCCCGAACAGAGACACCAGCAGAGAGAGACTCTAGCTGCGGATTGTCAGAACCTCCGGCAACGACACGCCGCCGCCCGCAGGAACCAAGTACGGGACTAAGACCGGACGGACGTGGTCCCGCACCACGCCGAAGAACCGTCAGAAGGAGAATGCGAAACCGGGCTACCGGAACATAGCCATTTCGACCGCTAGAACACGACAGTGGGAGGACCCCCGCCAGTACGACGCAAAGACAACAATGCCGAAGCCATTGCCGAGAACGAAACAAAACGATCAGGATCCTCAGGGAGGAACCTCTGGAATCGTCCGCCCAAGAATCGACTGGAAGGCTGGCCACCTCCAGTGGGGATGCAGCCTTAGAGGAGAGCCTCAGGAGCAGGCCCTCGGGACACCCCGAACTACGGCGAGAAGACGCCGAGAACACGTCAGAGGACGCCGAAGAAGACGCCTACATAGTACACAGGCAGAAACCACACTTTGTGAGGAGACGTGGGAAGCACTCAGCAACCCAACGAACGCGCGCGCGCAGGGTTTTTGCTGGCCGAGTAAAGCACCCCGCACCACCTTCACCTGGCGGAACGTCCCGGTCGGGAACGAACTGCTGAGGACCAATCCCTCGTAGCCGCCGCGCCCCCACTAACGTTAGTTAGCCTTAACTTACCTGCTGCCTGGAACTCCGCAACATCCAACGCCCAATCAACCACGACGCCTGAACACAATTCTGCGTGTAAACAAGGACCGATGAGGCTCCCAGCCGGCCCAGTTTCTCGACCGCGCGCCTCGCCTCGAGATAGAAACCAACACCGTCCTCCCTCCCTCATACCGCAGCTTTCGTCGCCATGGACGAACCGCACACTCACACAGAGGAGGAGAAGGCTCCTCGGAAGACACAGACACGAAAACGACAGAGCGACAGCGACGACGACAAACCCCAGCCGAAACGAGTACGATTGACACGGAAAAACCTTGCCGCATTCAACAAGATGGGCAAGAAGAAGAAGACCTCAGACGACGATTCGGGCTCGACCAAGACCAAGACCACATCGACAACCTCGTCCGGGTTCGCCGAGCAAGTCTACAAGAATGGCGTCCGACAGCCGCCATATGCCAAGCCGCCTCCGAACCTCGGGGACATTCGCGAACGACTCGCTAGATCCCGTGCAACCGCCTCACCGCCCGAACTGGAATACAAGCGCTACATCAACAAAGTCGAGGGGGCCCCGAACGAAGCAACCATGGTCGTCGAAGTCAGCAGAAGGCTGCCGAAGGAGTATGACGATAAGGGCTATAGCCAAGTGTTCAACCAGGCGTTTACAAACTTCCCGGAAGACGTTGGGCTCAACAATGGCCTATCCGCCCCACAGCCCGACTTTATCGAGGGCCTCCGGATGCCAGAGTACGGCCCGTTTCCAGTCGGCGAATGCGTTGGCGGCGCCGTTCCGTATAAGGACGACCCCAATTCCCTAACGCTACCACATTTGGCGGGGGAATGGAAGGGACCCGGAAAGAACATGAAAGAGGCGAGAATGCAGGCCGCCTACGATGGAGCGGCTCTTGTCTACGCCAGGAACCAAGCCCTTGATACCATGGGAAAACCTTACCTTGCCGGTCATGCCAAGGTTATGACATTCACTACGGACGGCACCAACCTTAACCTCTTTACACACCACATTATGCTGACGGAGGAAGGTACGCTTGAGTACCATCAGCACCCCATCAAGTCGATCAATCTTATCGACTCCCACGAAGGGTACAAGGAGGGCCGAAAACACCTCAGAAACGCCCAGGACCTCGCCAAGGAAGAGTCCTACGCGCTGAGGGACGAACTCAAAGATTATTGGAGGGCAAGGAGGGCGCAGCCGGTCCCTCTCCCCACCATCGAAGACGACTACGAAGTCGTCGAACACCAGCCTGTCTATCAGCCGACACCCCCTACATCGTCCAAGCCCAAGCATAGTAAACCGCACCACTCGCATTCGCCGCCGCATTCGTCCAAGGCTCCCTCATCCACACATGGTTCTACCGCCAGCAGCGGACAGAAGCGAAGAGCCTCATCTTCGCAGGAATCGTCGAGCAGCTCTTCCAGGCACAAGTACAAGAGCTACTGGAAGAAGGACGCCATGAGCGGACGTTATTACCACCAGCATTCGGATGGTACCGTCTCTTGGCTTGACGACGACGAGGAAGATGGACGCGACTAGTACGGTCGCCGGGACATCGACCATGGAGGAGGGGAAACCCGTTACAACCTGCCAAGTCATGTCAGCGTTGTAGGCACGCGACCACGGTCGGTCATTTAATCATGGCAAAGCATGAGGTTAGGAGTGACCATAAGACTATTGACTGTGGGGTAATGGTATCGAGACAAATGGCATCAGACCTACGGAGAGGATGGCATTAGACGACTAGATGATGTTAGTATCTAGGATGGTACCTATGATATATGATATTATAAAGTATGAGAATCTAATTAATAGAAGGTTTTATCAACTTGCTTACCGTCAGACTAAAGAGAAATTAAACAATCAATAAGGAATATTGGTAAAGGTCACCAAATAATTTGATAGTAAGTCATATATGACTCATCAAAACTCATGTCTTGCATCATGTCACCAATATGATCGATATCTTATACTATAGCTTATACTTAAAATAGCATTTTCCTTATCTTAAGGATGATCAATTCTCCTCTCACTTAAAGAACCTTATTACTTTTGTATGGAAGAAGATCCGGCCCAGCGTCCCCCTATCAAGAACGTCTTAAGATATCGTTACATATTCGTTACAGTTAAAGATTACCCAACTGTATTAGTATCGAAACTGGTTAAAGCCTATAAGCTTTAAGAGACACAAGAAGAAAATAGACTGTCATTATTCTACGCAGGTGGTGCTCAGAGACCAACCAGTAATCATCACCCCCATTCTAGTGAAGGGTAGAATCTCGCTACGATAACTAGCTGAGATGAACTCAATTTCGACGATCTAGACACCCAGGCTGTTTATGATGCCTATAGTCACAGTATTAGTACAACCTCTAATCAGCCCAGGACGAACCTACGCTATCGTCGTCCGCCAAATATCAAACCACTTACGACACCTCTCGAGAAAGTCTTCGATACAAATACTAGCTCCAACTACAAAGATAACGCCCGTCTTTTCTACGGCAGATTCATCTCGCCAATGCTAGACGACCTTCCTCTTCGAGACAACTCAGAACATCTCACTGTGTGAGAATCGCTCATCAATCTAGATACATCACCACATGGGGCGGAACTGTCTCGATTCACAGATATACAGACCATCAGGGCTGAGATGAAGCCAGCATCCAGAAATATGACAGGATCAGATCGTCGTCGAACCCAAGATTGGACGTTCCCAAGCATGAGCTCAACTACTCTTGCCTTGGATGAGCCACTGGGCCAGTCGAATAACGACTCTTCATCTATGGTGTCTTCTGCACTTCTTACACAAGCGCGACACATGGACAACCTGACTTTCGCCGGTCCTGAAAATTAAATACTTTCGAGCTCGCTGTCAGATCGAACCTCGACCCTGAGCTGGATTGACCTAGATGCTAGTTTAGTAGCGACAGATAACAGACGCCCATCCACTGCGGATTCAGATGGCATGTCATTTAATTCTGATGCTGGGGGTACGCCTTTCGACCTTAAACGACATATGTCAGGGGCTAGTCCCTCTGAATCGAACAACAGAGAACCATCCCTATATATATCAGACAAGCACAATTTCTCGTCCATCAGAGAACCGTCTATCTATGTTACGGCCGACCGCTATTCGGAGGTGACACCAGAGGAGACACAGGTGGCTATTTCCCCTATTCCCACCACTCAAGAAATTTGTCCACTCATGTTAGGAGTTTCCTCGGAAAGGAGAACTCCCTCGGAAGAAGTTCGCTGTCCTCGCTCCTACCTGTGCCGCCATATTCCCATCCCAAAGCGCCATGTTGGATCTCAGTTGGCGGGATGAGCTAGAAGACGAGACGCGACGTATGATCTTGAGTTTAAGTGAGCATCTTCATTTCACCATTGACAGCATGAAAACGTTTCCTGTTCGCAAGACGGAAGAACCTTTTTCTGTAAGAGAGAAGTTTCCATAAGACTTCGGATTGGTTGAAGCATGGTCTCCTTCGTGCCCATAAGCTAGGAGGCATGTGCCGTAATGGAATGTACTGTACTTTGCTATATACCACCTGTGACAAAAGGGAGCCCCGCTTTGCTCAGTGGTAAGCTCCCTAACCCTTGACAGGGGCCAATTCAGTATATATATGGTGTGAGAG